ACCGAAAAGGAGTAGAGATAACATTTGAATCCTGATGCGTGTTCTCTTCTCAAACAACCAGAAAAGAAAACCAGGAATCAAGACGCAGTACAGAAGTAGCCAAGATATTATGATTATTAGAAGCTTGCAGATTCGACCGCCGATTGATTTTCTTTCGTCTAAGGACGGCCAAACTCCGAGTGTGTTCAAAACATTACGCGTTATTTTAGTGATATACATAATATCATCTTGATAATGTTCGTTATTCGGCATATTTTTTAAATTTACGAGAAAAATTGTCTCAATTTCTTTTACAGCGAATTACTTTCGGATGCAAACCGTACAAATTATTATGAGCACGATGGAGTTCAGATGCGAGCTCGATTACAACTGACGGTTGCAAAGGGAGATACAAATCAAACAAATCCGCTGTTCGCTTGCGCTTGCGCGATTTTAATATTTAGATGTTGCGTGCGTGAGAGGCAGTAAAGCTTTAAAAAACGTTGGTAGCAAACTTTGAAAGCCAACTTGCTCGCGGGCAACCGGGACAGTTTGCGAAAGTAAGTATTTTTGTTCGTCAGAATTGTCTCCCCTTTTTCAATGGACTAAAGTTAAGCTGTAACTTTATTTCTTCCTGTATCCGAAGTTATAATTATAGTCATCGGAGGTCGAATCAGTATATTCTGCATTATTCAATCAAAACTATTAGTTGCTGTCAACCTCTGGTGGTAGCAATCATAACTTTTGATACAGGAAGGAATAAAGTTACAACATATTCGTAATTCGTTGGAAAAGAGAGTGCATGTTAGTGGATAGAAATACTTGCTTTCGCAATAAAAATATTTTGTACCACGCAATCGTAGAAGTTAACGGATGGTAGCATCATTGTTTATACGTACCTATTTTGTTTATACGTACGTATTTTGTGACTATACAAAATACAACATATGTCATTGTGTCGTACTTCGTCAACCCGGATAGGAACGTTTAGTTGGTAACATTTTGCAACATATTAAAATATATCACAGGTACTTTTACAACCTACAACATAATCGTGTGATTATTAGCTTATTATTTTAGAGGATATAACAAGCTTGATACGCTAAATGTTAACTAGTTTACATAGAAAATATTTTAAATACATGATCAATATGGTCTATATTAATTTGAAGATTGTTTCGTTGCAATATGTTAAACAATTTTGATTTTATTTTGATTAAAGCAAAAGTGTTACTTACGTTAGAGAATATGCTCAACGTCATCGTTGTTATTCTCTGTCACTAAGTAAAGCAAGCAGACTCACGGTAACGTTATCCTTGCTGACCTGTTTCGAAGATACCAAGAATAGAAAGTAATAAAGTATATCGTAGCTTAGCATATGAAGGCTACGAAAAAAAATACGGATATGCAGCCCAGTCTAGCATTCACCAGTGTGATACAGACAGTGTGATTTCTCTGTCCAATCCATATATTAGACGTACACACACACACACACACACACACACATACACACACAAGCTAGTCCATTTTTTAGTTATAGTTCAAGAAGAAAGTTCACTTATATTCCGAATACTAAAAACGCAAAAAAAGATTGTCATAGATATCAGTATGACATCAAAGTATGGCCTTTGACTTTCACTGGATATTGAAGATACAAACTTGATTTATATCTACACAGAGAGAACGATTTATTGAACCAAATAAATTCTTTGGAATAGTCCAAACAAATTATTTAATTGGCACAATAAAAATATTTCTTTGAATCTAAGCCGTAAATAAATATTTTTGTTGCGTCAAACAAAATTTTATTCGATCAATAAAAAAATTCGTTTGGATTATTCCAAAGAAATGTTTATTTGATTCAACCAAATCGTTCTCTCTGTATACGCTGCTCTTAAAAGATAAATACATTTTTTTTATAATTATTGTGAAATATACAATCACTAACTTGCTTTTTTTGTTGAACATGAAAAGAATAAATGCTTCTATGTTCGAAGTAATGTTACTGATAAGCTTAGTCTGAGTTTTCCTGTCCGAGGAAAAGTTTTCCTTAGTTAGAAAATTACGATTTAACGTTTTACAAAGAAAGAATACTAATAATAGTAGTGTATAGAATATAGTTCTTGAAACAGAAAATTCGTAGTAAATTATTATATATCCTGGACAATTGCAAGAATATTTCTCGTTTTCTATTTTTACATGATTATTTTAATTTTTTTGTTTGATAAAGGTAATATTTAATACAAAATAAATAGTATGAAATAGACAGTACTCCTTATCATGATATAGCGATTATAAGGTAAAAGATTTTTGTATTGTCAAGATATTGGCAATGACATAATAACATTTGCATTACTAAAGACAAGACAGATACAAATATTTCATATAACGATATCACGTGTTTCAAATTCAGTGTAAAATAGAAAATCTTACACATACATATGTTTTCACAAAAGATATGTATTTAAACAGGAACATATATTCTATATTTATACATTACACCAATCTTTGCATGTCACACATTCATATTATTAATAAACATGATACGATATCATTATTGCAATATGTACAATTTGCATCATTTTCTCAATCATTAAGGGAATGCTGTACGCGATTGCGAACTTCGAAAGCAATGTAGTACGCGTCGGTTTGGGACAGACGCTAGATGGCAGTGTATGTTCGACGCGGCCCCATCTGATAGAATTTCGATAGTAGGCACGCAGCGCAGAGTTGCTAGATTTAAAATGCAGCGTTTTTCTCTCTGCGTTTAGGCAGGCAGAGACGCTTTGTCTATTTGTGTGACGATCTTCGTCACATGGATTCTAACACTGAACTCTGAACCATAAAAAAAGAATAACGTAAGCAATCGAGAGCCACATATATGTGTGCCTAACGCTTTAGTTCATTGATATAAGAATATAAGATATAGACCGAACATAAGACTGGAGATCTGAAGACGTAAAACAGAGTTCAGCACATGTGACATATTTCGGCCGATTTTCGATTGAAATTATGATAAAAAGCGACAGTAACGCATTTACGCAGTTACATTCTTTACATAACAATAATGAATAATTTCATAACTTTTAGATAAAATTTTCCGTTTCTTTGCACATATAGAATACATGTGTACAGAATAGTATAGAATAGCCCAAAAGAAATCTTAAAAAAACATGGGGCCGCATTTTTATTCTGCCAGCACACAACACACATTGGCCAGACGCGTAATTCCATTGGTGCAATGTATTTTGCATTTGTTGTCAATAATCTTATAAATATTTAATGTCAGAGCGCGTTCCTTGACACAACTTATTACAAACTTAAACTTTTAATTATTGCAAAAATCAGTTGTCATGACATTAGATGCTTCTGTCAGTAGATATTATTAAAAGTAAACAGATTTTATGTATGATTTATTGTTGCTGCTTTTAATCTTATTAAATGTTGCATATATATGAGAGCAAATTTTTCTAATATTACTTATTATAGCAAAAACCATATCATATTAAGATGCATGTGGTCTTTAATATAATGACATGCAAACAGACTATATACGTATAAGTGTATCTGCTTTGAATATTCATATACATAATGCTTATGTCAAACCGAACTTCTCTAACATTATTTATTCACAAAAATCACATAGCACCATGCAAGATTTCTGTAGTATAAATCAATATGAGTAATACGTAACTTACATATGTTATAGTACATTCTCTGCATTTTATATTATTATATAATAAGTATATATATATATATATATATATATATATATATATATATATATATA